TTCTTTTAATTTTAGAAAAGAAATAAAAGACGAAATTCCGTGTTTGATACTCTGATCAAAACACTTGGGATGTAGGGAGAGCACTCGAAAAGCTGGAAACCACTCCGCTACGCGTCGTGGTTTCCTACGCTTCTCTCGTGCTCTCCCTACATCCCGCGTGTTTTGATCAGAGTATCAAACACGGAATTTCGTCTTTTATTCCTTAAGTAATAACTTGTTACAAAAAAGGCACATGCGCACTTTAAATTCATTCATCAAAGTGTAATGTAGGTGCGTTCAAGGGCAAAATTAACTATTAGTAATTGCTGTTTTCTATAGCCACATACCCAAAAAACATTTCTATTGTCGTAATTCACGAGTTCACCCGAAAATGCAGAGTAGAGAAACTGACATCAGGAAAAACAATGAACGGCGGGAAGTTGAGAGAAGCCACGACAAAAAAGAGCCACCAGCGGGTTCTTAAACATATATTAGAGAACGATTGCGTTGCTGCAGAGGTGAAATACCACAAAAGCTTCTACAAGAAATAAACATTGTTCTTAGGGGCTGCGCAATATTTATCAGGAGGGGGAGGGGGAGGGAGGGCTTGAGGATGAGCCAAAAAATCAAAAGAGTTAATTACTTAACACCGGCCCTCGTAATCGAAGAAAATTACGCCCCCCGTGATTTATTTGTTTATATGTTATCGAATAAAGAGTTGTCAAGAGTTGTCGCAAATTGTGGCACACATTTGAGAAGTTCTCGAATCTGACACCGTTCAGGATTTTTCATTTTCCAATTAAAGTTCTAGTTAATTTTAGATGTTGCACCCCCCCATTAAGCATATAAAATTAGATATTTCCCGCCCCCTCTGGATTCTCAACCCCCCTCCTGATATATATTGCGCAGTCCCTTAAACCACCCAGACACCAAAGATCTAGATTATTATTATTATTACCTATCCACCCAGGAGGAATAAACTACGTTCACACGGCGCTGGTCAAGTTTGAAGCACCTTTTAGGACAGTTCCCACTATTCACACGGAACGGTCCACATTTCGGTACGGATTGAAACAGTGTTCACACGGATCCGTTCATGTTTCGAAATGACGCGTACTCAAAGTGTTTAGCCGACCCCAAACCTGAACACTTGTCCAGTCTCAGATGAGGCCAGTTCCAGAGGTCAATGTGAACGCGCGCCTAAACTAGAACGGTTCCGAACGGATACGACCGCGTATGAACGGGGACATAGTCGAGTCATTTGAGGACACTATTTTCATCAACACATACGTCAAATCAAGACGTTGCGCTTTCKCTTATCCCGCTGTTTTGATTGAGATATTAGAGAGGTTTAGCATGACGTTCACGTCAAACGCCAAACGGCAGAAAAGATCACGTGACCTGCTTTTTTTGAGTTTAACGTTGCAGTTTGAACGCGAAAGCGGGTTATTTTAGGGTTGCCATAATAGCGAAAAGCCGCTCTTTCAAATGACTACCAAAAGCACAAGGTCGGGCACGAAATTCTTATGTCATTGGTTTAGCTCTGCCGTTACCCGTTTGCCGTCAACGTGATGCTAAAAACTCTCTATTACCATATTGTTGACCGCAGGGAGGTTGGGCACTAGAGAGATCTCTATCATTCGTACCTTCCTCTACGGATCTCTTTTCGATTATTTTAGCACATCGAGCTTGCGAACGTTTGAGATCTGTCTTAGCTGTAAATTTTGAGCAACAGCTCTTTTGGTAATAAAAAATACCAACAGACAAAGAATTCTCTTTGACTTTGTCTGAAACATCCTCAGAGTTTTCTGCAACTAGCCTTTGTTGCCCGTCCAAATTTATCCATAGATCATGACAACTGCGAAAGGYTTCAAACGAAATACTYGAAAATTGTGTTAAAGGACCGTTTTTGTCTCTAAAATGTATACAACATTGAAAACCCGCGATATTTAGCGCATTTTGGAAGGTCTGTAGGTTTGCATGAGCCGGACATTGTCAGCGGTCTCTTCCTCTAAAATAGCATCTGCGCCTGCTTAGACACGAAAATCCAAGATGGCGGACATCAAAACAAAGGTCAAAAATTCCGAACTTTCAAGGGCTTTAACTCAAAAACTGCGGTATTTCAGAGGTACCAACAAGCATATTTGGATTCAGAAAGTAAAAATTATAGATTTATGTTGTTTAAAAGTAGTCCCCTTGAAGTTTATTTTGTTTTGAACGATAATCGACTTCAGAATACGGCCTATACCTGATCACAGACTAGTTTACATCCACGAGGCACGGGATCGCGAGGTATTATCACAGGTAATCGGCATTTTACAAATTGCGCGCGTCGATATTATAAAAGCGTGAGCAGCTCGTTCCTTCTTCTGTCAAGAAATAGTTAGACAGACTATGGACGCCATGTCATAGCGACAAGAACTTGAGTTATCAGATTATGAGATCAGCACTGCGGGCATCAGGCTTTTCTGCCAGAAAAGCATTTTACAGTGTAGCTGAAAATATGAAATTATGGAAGGTACGATGTCCTGCTAGAAAGTGGTAACAACGTTTTTTCAACTCAATAAAGAGGAATGTTCATCAATCCGGTCATTCTTACTGAACTTATTCAACTAGTTCTTTTTGAACCTACATTTTTGTTGTTTCCAGTCTTGTACGCTAAAAACACCTTTCCATCAATGCTGTATTCTAATGTGTAGTTTTTCACCCAATGGTCCATATCTGCTCGTCCTTGCGTAGCTACTCTTGTGATTTTRGAGAACMGCCCCAGTGCTACTTGAAGCCATGGACTTCTGTCACTTGTTTTTGACTGCCAACCACCTGCTCTGTAAGAGGTTACTGGGTAAAAGTGTAACCTCCCATTRGCAGCACTGTGGTTTGAATCTAGAACGCTTGAGGCAGAAAATTGGGACCCTATCGCTGACATTAGGGACTCACATACAGCACAAAGTGGAACGACATCTACTCCTGCGRAAAGAGCGTCAAAATGTAGTCGGTTTGCTTAGAAAAATATGTTTTAAAAACGGAATAGTTCAATTATATCAACGAAAACCTTTAAAACACACCTTTAGTATCTGAAACAGTTTGATGAACTAAACGCGCTTTATACATTCAGCTTTTTACAACTTTTTTTCAATTCTTCTCTTGATTTTAGTCGCATGTATACTATTTACAGGRATTGTGAATTTTGTTTTGTGAGCTACCTACCATCGGAGCATCCATATAATTCGATTCGCATAGAAATATGGCCATACCACGCCTTAGGAAGAACTCTAATAAATCTTGTAACAATACTTGGATTGAGATTCTGGCCAACCACAGTAGATCTGTCGTTGTTTCCCGCCAAAACTTTCCTTTGTTCATAGTCGTAATAATGGCTGCCATAGTAACTATATTGAAGGCTATATCTAGTTACCCACTGGTCCTTATTGGGTCTACCTTGCGTGACAATACGAGTTACATTTGTCCTCTTTCCTAAATCTACTTGCAGCCATTGACCAAGATCATTAACTCTTGCTG